CACACACACACACACACACACACACACACACACACGAAAGTGGAAGGGGCCTCTTGTTGAAGGGTATGGTAGGAGGGAGAGAAAGAGGGTAAGGAGGTGAAAATGACTGAAATAGATTACACACAGGTGTGACGTCATCAAAGAATTAAAAAAAATAATCAGGGGCTGGAGAGGAGGCTCATCTGTTTGGAGTGTGTACTGTTCTTGCAGAGAACCTGAGTTTGGGTCTCAGCAACCATGTAGGGAGGCTCACAGTCACCTAATCCAGGGGATCCAGCACCCTCTTCTGGCCTACTTGAGCACTGCATTCACGCACTAACCACACACACACACACACACACACACACACACACACACACACACACACACACATACACACACACACGTTTTTTTAAGAATTTAAAAAACAAGTAAAAATTAAAAACAAGACCACATTCATCATTGTGGGTGGGCAGCATCCAGTCCAGCAAAGGCCCAATAGAGCACAAGACAGAGGACGGACGAGCTTTTCTTTCTGCTCTGTCCTTGGTCAATGGTGCTCTTGGTCCTTGTACCTTTGGGCTGAATTAAATCATCATCTTTCCTGGATGTCCCACTCACAGCAGATTGTGGGTTCGCTGGTCACCAGAGTCATCCAGTCAATCCTATAGTCCTGGCTTTCTCTTTCTCCCTTCCCTCCCTCCTCCCCTCTGCATTCCTGTATCCCCGCCCCCCATATCCCCTCTTTCTCTTTCTCGTTGCTTCTGTTTCTCTGAGAGCAGGCGACAGTGATGGCGGCTGTTTTAGGATTCTTTATCAGTGAATTTCAGTATCTGGGTCATGTCAGAGCCAGTCTCCTTTCTGGAGACAGCAGCAAGATTTAAAAGAATTTTCTTGCATATCAGGTCACTTTTAGATTTCATTTGGGGTATTGTAGATGTTCCGGTGTCAAGACGTTGAGTCCTGTTATGGTTCTCCAAAACAGTGCTGACACTTTTGGTTTAATTCAGACTGCAATCCTGTTGTCCGGGTTCTCCAGATTAGAGAGGCTTCTGGGGTTCTGTTTGTTTACTTTGATAATCAAATCTGGAGCCTTGCATGTCCTTCAAGCATTCTACCATTGAGCTCTAACACCAGCCCTTGACTTTTTAAGACAAGGCCTCACACTTTGTCTTCAAATTTATGATCCTTCTGCCTCAGCCTCCCGAGCGTGAGGATTACCAGTGTGTGCCACCACACCTAGCAAGCTGAGGTTTTCCTCGGCCTGCATGATTCTGTTCACTGATGTCTGAGGACAGGAGGAGCTGGATGATCTATTTAAACAGAAAGGGTTGCGCTCATCCATGCCGGTCTGCCTGGGCAAGCAAAGGAGTTACCATGATGTACTCAAAGATGTTCATGGTCTGTTGGAAGGTGTGTCAAGATTTCTTTGATTTTTTTTCCCTTTCGGTTGCTTTTGGGAGGTCCGAGTATCCCACCGTGCTATGGGGGCAATACAAGGAGGGGGCAGATACCAAAGACATCAGAGATGATCTCTCTCAAGTCCTTCGCTTTCGAGATGATAGAATGGGTTTGCAGGAAAAGGAAGTGACTTGTTCAAGACTACGCAGTCACCACACGCAGAGCTGGCTCCAGTGCCTCCTGTCTCTCAAGTTCCCTCTTCCTGCCAGACAAGCCCTAGTCCTTCACACTCATGTGCCGTCTCTTTCTCTCTGGCCTGCCCTCGGCGACCCCAGTGCCCTTGGATGGCATCACGATTTGAACCTGAAATAACCCTTCCAGGTTCACGGGTTCGAACGTTTGTTTCCCAGCTGCTGGAACTCCACGGCTGGAGACCGTGGGACCTTTGGGAGGAGGAACCTAGCTGGGGAGGGAACAGATTTCTTAAGGGGCCGGACTGGAGGCTTACAGCACCACCCAGCATCCTGTGCTGCTTCTGATTTCTGTTCCATCAACATATAAGGAAGTGGGAAGTCTCAGCCTCACATTCCCACTCCCGTGGCCTGCTTGTCACCCTGCTGTCCCTGCCATGATGGACTACATGCCTTCAAATGGAGCCTCCATAAATTCTCCTTCCCCTGAGGTGCCCCTTGCCAGGTATGTTGGTCACAGCAACAATAAAGGCCACTTCTATAGATACCATGGAGGGAAGGGCCTCTGTCTATCAGAGCTCAGATTCCCAACCTGCTTTGTTATTTCACAGTACTTAAGAAATACGATATATACTCATCAAGACCTAATAAATCCCGGTTACACGATCCCATCAATGAGCTGATGTTGTTGGATTTCAGATGCGGCAGGTTCTCTTTGACCCTCTCCTCCTTCTCACTCAGCACTAACCCCACCCCCCACCGAGGTACCCACCATAGATGCGAAAGGCGTATTCAATCTTCAGGCTGGGGCAGGCCTGCTCACTGAACACCGACGCCATGCCCAGCACATCTTCAAAGGAGAACACGTTGTTGTGTGAGAATACCTTGCAGATGCGGTCTCTGAAAGGGTTGACCTGGGATGGGGGTGGGGGAGGACAAGGTCTATCAGGGCCAGGGTGTTGCCTCCCCGAACCTCTTCCATCTGTCGTCAGCACTGCGTCCTGGGCTGAGACAAAAAGAACAAGGTAGGGTGAAGCGGGACCCTCAGGGTGATGGAGGGACCCAGGACAAGGGACCCTGCTTGACATCACTCTGCTCACCCACATCTCCTCCCGCGCACACATTCCAATGGCTTGTGGGTGTGTGCGTACGTGTGTGTGTGTGTGTGTGTGTGTGTGTGTGTGTGTTTGTGCATTGTCTTATTGAGGGTTTTTTTATGGCTATTAAATTTCCCTCCATTTTACATTTAAAACTAGGAAAATTAAAAAAATGAATAAAGAAAAAAGCAAAAGTCATCTATAATCGACTCCCCAGAGTTAACAACTATTAACATATTGATGTAGCAGTCAGCAGACCTAGGTTTAATGCTGTGTCGTCGTCAGTTAGGGAACAACTGCCATATAGATACATTCATTAAACTAGCTGTCAGAGTTAAAGACTTGTATAAAGTAGAGAGATAATAATTATGTCTACCATGTGGGACTGCCATGAAGACTAAGATAAATAACTCAGCCAATGAGAGTGTCTGATAAATAACTCGGCCAATGAGAGTGTCTAATAAATAACTCGGCCAATGAGAGCTGGTAGTTGTTGTTTAACCACCACAGATATCACAATCAACAGAGCAGTTTTCAAATTAGGTGCCCAGGCTGGAAATGAAGCTCAGCAGTAGAGCCTTTACTTAGCATGAGTGATGCCCTGGCTTCAGTCCCCACCCCACCCCACCCCTTCCCAAACACACACACACACACACACACACACACACACACACACACAATCAAATCAGAGTCCCAAATTACCAAGGGCCATGTGATCTTAGCAACTCTGGTTCCCTCAAACTGGCCCTGGCCCTGGCGCGTGAGCCCCCTCCTAGGCTGACGTTCCTCCACGTGGGCTTGTGACATCCCAGCCACCATTTGCCAGTTCAGATGCAGCTCGCTATTTCAGCTTGCAACACTCCCTCCAGGCCCCAGGAATGGACAGGGGATGAGAGGGCTTTCGGGGCAGAGCTCATCAGAGTTTGCTATAGTTCGGATTATAATGGTCTCCCCGAAGACTGTGTGCTGTAAAAGGTAGGTCCCAGTGAAAGGTTGTAGGACATTGGTGAGATGTGTCCTCAAAGAGGATCATGGGACTCCAGCTCTTATTACTTTTGCTTCCCAGGGACCACGAGGTGAGCACCTTCCTTCTCTACACCCTCCTGCCGTCATGCCTTGCCTCAAAACAGGCCCCAAAGCAATGGGGACAGTTGACCAAGGGCTGAAACTGTAAAGCTGCAATCTCTTTCTAACATGATCTCTTCCAGTGTTTTATTATAGTAACAGCTGATTAGCATAGAGCTCAGTAGGGATCCACGCGCAAGGATGCTTGGCAATCTTTAAAAGTAGCAAGTCCAGCTTTGATACACCCTCTGCTCACTCTCTGGGGCTCCCATCCATTCCCACCTCCTAGAATGCCTTTCCCCAGCTGCTCAGTGTCCCCGCCCAGCAGACCTTATCACACTCCAGCTCTCTCCTGTACTTCAAAACAAACCCTAACAACTCATACCTCCCTCAAATCCCTGTTCTTACGTGTACCCTGACTAAGCCGCCTGACCCTGTAAACCCGCAGAGCAGATGTGAGTGTACAGTAGAGCCCCGGCTCCCAAAGTTCTAATCAGCTGAAGTGGCTCTCTGGTTTTTGTCTAGCTCCCTTTGCTATGACAAGGCATCTCTTCAGAGGCGCATGTTTCATGCAGAGGGGCTTGGCTCAGCCTCTCTGCCTCAGCTGTGCAAATGACCTGGCATGGGCCTGCTGCTAAGGATCTACGCCAGTGGTTCTCAGTCTGTGGGTTGGGAACCCTTAGTGGGTCGCCTAAGACCATCGGAAAACACATTCATGTTACGATTCAAAATTACAGTTACGAAGTAGCAACAAAATAATTTTATGGTTGGGGGTGGGGGGTCAGCACAATCTGAGGAACTGCATTAAAGGGTCGCAGCATTGGGAAGGCTGAGAACCACTGTTCCATACAGACCCACGCTCTCTGGAGCTGCCCGACCCGGACCAGCCAATGCTTAGCTCTCTCGCTTCAGTTCTCCGGTTTTGACATTCGGGATATTTCTTTTCCCCCTTTCATTCTCCTAGAACTCAGCCACACACTGAAACGCGTGCTTTTATGTTGTCCATCCTTGTATTTGAGATGAGACATCGTGTGTCACTCCAGGTGGCTCTGCAGCTCTCAAATTCTACTCAGCATACAGGCCACTTGGGGTCGTTCTTAAAAACGTGAATTCGTGTTGGACAATTGAAGGGCTTTGTCCATGCAGGATGAAGAACCAGCTATACAACGTTATACTTGGAGCTCCCAGTTTTGTCCTGTGCACTGGGATATCGAAGAGGGTAGAGCTCATGCCAAGTGTTCTAAAAATTCAAGCTCAATATGGTGGT